TGACAGAGATAGCTCCAGATTGCTGAGTGAAGAGGAGAAATTCACCTATGGTCTGGAGTGGCACACTAAGGAGACTGGCTAGCTCTCCAAAAAAGACTATGCTGCATAAAAGGATTATAAATACTTCCAGAAAGTTGTCCTCAGTTTATCAGTTTCCTTGGGCATCCTGTACACTCCTAACCCTATCCCAGTTCAAATCCCCTAAATAAAACAACAAAACCAAAGCTCAAAGAATGGTTTCTGACTCTGGATGCAAGTCTATGTGGAAGTGTGTGTTGCCTGGCTATGCAGGATTATAGGGGGACCCAAATCTTCTAGTGACTCCTAAGGGGGTAGTGCTACAGGAGGAAAATAAAAAGTCCCACGTTATTAAATAGTCCAAGAGCAGGAGAATTGGATTTTGAGCTTATACATCATAATACTTGCCATTTCCCTATGTAACAAATGTGCCCATTATATGCACATTCTCATGTGTATTATAGTCCTATAGTCTTACAGAGGCTTACAGTATATGTATATTTTACTTCCTAGTAAATTTCTCTTTGCATAATAAAAGGAAAAAAAGCACATACATAATTTAAAAGTTGCACAGAACCAAAAATAACATTATTATTCTAGAAATGCCTGGTTTAATAACACCTCGTGGGTCGCTGTTGATGTGGGTGGACAACTCTGAAATGTTGATTAATTCTTCTGCTTCCAATAAAAAATGTATTGATATTGCAGGTGACACGCTTAACATGGCAATAATATATACAAAGTGTGTGTGTGGTGTGTGGTGTGTGTGTGCATGTAAGAACATTGGGGAACTGGGGAAAGTACAGAGAAGGGCAACCAAACTGATATGAGGCATGGAGGAGCTCAGCTATGAGGAAAGATTAGAGGAACTGAATTTATTCTCTCTTCAGAAGAGGAGATTAAGGGGGGATATGATGAACATGTATAAATACATCAGTGGTTCATATAGTGAACTCGGTGTAGAGCTATTCACCCTGAGGTCATCACAGAGGACATGGGGGCACTCTTTACATCTGGAGGAAAAGAGATTTAATCTCCAAATACGGAAAGGTTTCTTCACAGTGAGAGCTGTGAAAATGTGGAATAGACTCCCTCAAGAGTTGGTTCTGGCCAGCTCAGTGGATTGCTTTACAAAAAGGCCTGGATTCTTTCTTAGATATGCAGATTATAACTGGATACTAACATTTATAGGTGAAGTTGATCCAGGGAATATCCGATTGCCTCTCGGGGGATCAGGAAGGAATTTTTTTTTCCCAGCAGGAGCAAATTGGATAGTGATTTGCTGGGTTTTTTTTGCCTTCATCTGGATCAACAGTGGGTATAGGATTATAACTTTTGTTTTCTATGGTTGAACTGGATGAATTTTTGTCTTTTTTCAGCCAGACTAACTATGTAACTATGTAAATGTAAGCTAGCATGTATTTCTCTTGTATAATACCATTATGTTACAATGTGAAATTATCACTTTTAAAATGATTAAAGTGGAACTATACTCATCCTCAGTCCATCAATGCAGCGTCTTAAAGTTTCTCGCCAGCCGCTCACATCATCGGGTGGACAACTTCCAGGTCAGAATTGCCAGCCGCTTCCATTGGCTGAGCTGAGATGATGTCAGTTTCAGCATTGCTGAATCAGTACAATGAGCTGCGTGTGCTCAGCTCACTGTACAGTAACAGACAGGCAGTTACATAACCTTAATGTGGAAGAAACAAGGCATGTCTCTTCTGCATTAGGCCTCATTCATATTATCATGTAGTGGAAAGGAGCATTCCCACTACTCTTTTTTGAAACAATGATTTTCATGAGATTCTGCATATCGCATAGGGCAGCCCATTCAGTTGATTGGGCTATCCTATACATGTTTGTTACCTGAAAAGAAGCTGCAACTCCTTTTCAGGCAAAAAGATTCACACAATTTTTTAAAAGCATGGTTTGCTGCAATTGCCACGCAATCCTGTTGCACAATAGTCGCAGAAGAATCTCATCATGCTTGGGGTGCTATTAAAGGATAATCACAGCCAAACATGCTCAGTTGGTTGTGCTGTGATTGCTACGCGATTTGGAAAAAATCATCCCTGTTCGCCTATTTTTTTCTGATGAAGTTCCACTTTAAAGTGCAACTGAACTTTCAGCTTAAACCATATCAAACATTCCATGTAGAAAAGCCTCTCCCCTGCCAGCAGCAGAATGGGACCATTGCTCTCTGCGGTGAAGCAGTGGTCTATGTGCACCCCATACTGGATTAAAACTATAGCTCTGCAGTCACCATAGTCTATGCTCTCTCAGGCTCAGTTGGAGGGGGTTGGGGGGGGGGGGGGAGTCATGTCAGATGAACCCAGATAGCAAGGGTCTCACTCTACAGAATGCTGGCAGGGAACAGGCTTTTCTACTCAGGCTGCAGTTGCTTTAAAACAGCCTTTTTCAATCTTTTTATGCCAGGGAGACCCTTGAAAAAAATCTCCTGGTCTCAGAAAATCCCTCAAAATAATTTTCTTACGTGCAACTCAAGTTGGCTTGCTCAATTAATTTGTATATATAAAAATAATAAAGGTGTAAATAATAGCATTTATACCAATAGAAACAGTGCATTGGTGACCCCACCCAAACACAGTTTCACATACACATTTCTATGTCTCAACTGCTCTTCTCCTGCATTTTTTTCCTTTTTTATTCATTTTATCCTCTCAAATCCTCCTAAATCCTCTATTTATTTCTATCAACCAAAATCCTATTCTCTTTTCATTATTTTGCACCTTTTACCATCATTACTGCCAACAATTTCCATGTGATAGATATGTTTTATTACCAAAATAAAATTCAATACCACAAATGGTATGGGGGTAAATTTGTCAACTTGCAATAAACATTTTATTTTAAATTTAGGTAAATATTTTAAAAATGTTAAATGCATTTGTTTTAATACATTTATTCTGAAACATGTATCCAAAATGGAGCAGCTAAATTCTTTTCTTGAGTGATGCAATATGTCACAAACACCAAATCGTAGATAACGTTACTACAAAACATACACAATGCATACAAAAGCAGCAATGCATATATCAAATATAAAAATATATACAATGCATAAAGTAGCAATGCATATATCAAATAAGATATATACAATGCATACAAAAGTAGCAATGCATGTATCAAGTTTTAAAGGTGCAAAAAAAAATAATTTAAAAAACACTCAACAGATTGCCAAATATTGCACACATTTCATCGGTCTTTTCGGTTTATGCAAAGAACTTCTATGTGTGTTTAAATTGTAATATTGCATTCTATATATCGCTGTAGAATATATAGTTTTCCACTATCTAAGTATACACTATTTACATACATGCAAAACCATAACAGTAGAAAAACCTAAAGTATCTTCCTGTGTTTAAATAATATAAAGTCATGAATGTTCAAAAAAAACTGTTAATTGTAAAAATGTACCAATACTTAACATAAATGCCCGATGATAGTATTTAATGAATACAGTAAAATCTAAACTGTTAATGTTTTGCCTAAAAAAAAAACGTCTTGAGTGTAAGACAATACAACTGAGGAGGTATGTTGCAGACAACTTCCATGTATAAAATAATATGCAATTAAAGTTAAATACTACAGGTTGACTAGAACAATAAATATTTTATAGTAACTGTGCATATAAAACTATATTGACACTTTCCAAAAAAAAAAAAAAACACAAAAATGCAAGTTTTCATTAATGATTTTTTTTCCAATTCTGTCTCAGGTTCAAAGGGCATTTATTTCCGCCAAAACTTTCTCATTTCCAGGAAGGAATATCACTTTTGGAATGACCCCTGTGTCAACAGACCACACAAAATTCCTTATAAAAGTTGTGCTAAGACAACCACAGACCTTTGGGGTTAGGTTTCAGCACACTTTTAAAAAAGAACTGTTTGAAACTTTTTTGACCCAACATTGCTGATGGGCCACCAAAAGTTATGCACCTAATTCAAGTACCGTTTTTTCAGGTACTAACAGGATTGAGGTTTCTCAGCTCCATTCTTTATATTCATTCTTCACATGTGTCAAATCATTGTGGAGTTCCTTTTTTCTTCTGCTCCAACTCCTGAAGACGTTCTTCTCTGGCTTGAGCATGCTGGGAACCCACTTTATGAGCTGTCTCGGTGGCAGCAATGTCTATCTGAGCATACCTTGTGGAACCTCCTCCTGAAAAAAATGTTCAAAAATGTTAGTCTATATTTGATGCTAAGATGAAAAGTAATATTGTTTTGTGATATCCAATAATATTGATGACTATATTGTTGTTTTATGACAGTCAGTAATTCATCAGACCTGTTAGGATAAACCAGAATTTAGGTAGTGCTAGAATGAAAACCTAAGCAAGCTCAACCATTGTATACAATTAAGAATTGGCTATTAAATATAATTTCTATTTACATGTAAAATACCAGGCAGTGTTTTCCATTTTGCAATGTTCACTTCTTCTCCAGCCCTTTCTCCATTCAACAAACATGGATTTGGTCATAAAGGATAATTATTACCCAACCTATACCAATGGACCTTAAGTGGTCATTATTCTCTAGAGCCAAATCCGGCTTATGTATGCTGGCTGGAATACCAGCTATAGGAGGACTTGGTGCTACAAGACGGGAAACTTGTCCAGCACTGGACAGACCAAACCACTAAAAGCTTATTTTTCTGCACCTGAAATCTATATTGTGATTTATCATTTAGTTAGGAAAGCAGTGGTGGAAGGAATAACTTTATTTTAAAATTCAATTATACTTTAATGTAAAACTAACATTTTCAACTTTTCAAATACCACAACATTCATATTGACTGTACAACTTACTATATATCTGGAGATCCCTTTATTTAAAGCCTGATAAAAGTTGTTTCTGGAAATGTTTATGCCATGCAAATAACACGAAAGATGTTGCAGAACTATTTAACCACTTCCCCCCCACCCAGCCTGCGCTGCTATTGGCTGCTAAAAATGTCAATCACCAAGTCCCAGACAGCAATTCCTGACTGGAACTCGGCAGAGCTGACAGGGGAGAGACCTGTGTGTAAACAACACAGGTCTCTCTCCTGTCAGCATAGACATGCTGCTTTGTATCTCTGAACAGCAGAGAAATACAAAGCAGCATGTCTCCCTAGTAAAACAAACACACTGCACTTAATGTAAAAAACACACACAGCACACAGTTAACCCTTTGATAGCCCCAGATGTTAACCCCTTCCTGCCCAGTGTCAATAGTACAGTGTCCGTGCTTTTTATTAGCACTGATCACTGTATTAGTGTCACTGGGGATGCCAGTGGCAGTTTGTCAGTTCCCACCCAGTGTCAGAATGCCCGCTGCAGACCCGCTATTAGTCGCTGATCGCTGCCATTACTAGTATAAAAAAATCCAGTATATATACACCGCCATTTGTAGACACTATAACTTTCAAGTAAACCAATTAACCTCCCTATGATGATTATGATTATATCCATATTTCTGTGCTGAAAGCGGTACATTTTTTTGCATGGAAATATGTTTTTTTTTTTATTGTAGGCCTGTAATTATTAGGAATAACTCACTGAACTCTGTCCGAACAAGAGTCTAGTAAACATCCCAGGTATACTAAAACTTGAAACATGAAATCATAAATTATAATATAATAAATAATCATAAAAAATAATATAATAATAAATTTAATTCAATAATATAATCAAACCAAAAACATAAATATAGCGCCAAGTTCGCACATCACTGAGCTCAATCGCAGAATTGTTTTCAGTGTCTGATGACGAATTTCCCCACAAATCATTATCACTCAATTCTGCAAGTGGTTCTGATTTACTATCGCTGTATTCTAGCTGGTCTAAAACCGCTTTTGACCTAAAGGGGCGCTTTTTGGACGTCATGGACGTTTCTCAGTTTCCAGGCAGAAAGAACAGTAAAAATGCAGGCAGGCAGAAAGAACAGTAAAAATGCAGTAAAAATTTCAAATCATGGCAACTCACTTAGTATAAATTAATATAGTTTATAGGACTACATAATAATTCAAATCTATAACCAACTTTCTCAAAAAACAGTTTGTGTGGGTAACTCCAAACTAAAATAACTAAATAAAGAGTAGAGAAAACAGATAAGTGTTGAAAGGAAATGGGAAAGCCCTTTATCGCATAGTAGTTGATTACAGATCTTCCTCTTGGAACATGTGTGGTTACCTTTAGCTTTGTTCCAATTATTGGTTAAGAAAGGCTTGATTATCAATCAGCTGGGAAGGAAAATACAATTCAGTGAGAACCCCAATGGCGTGTATATATGCAATCTCATATTAACTTTTATTAAAAGTTTATTATGTGCCGTGAATGCTATGCTAATGCCATTGATTGGTGTGGTTGCAAAACATCCATATTGATCATCACGAATGGCCTACTCTACAGATCAAACCAAAACGTAGACCTTTTTATCTGACTATCATGAACAACATAAAATTGTCTAAGTTGTTATTGCATACATGCTACATTGGGGGCGGTGAGAAAGATAGAATTATTTTTACAAATATCACTGGCCACCCAAATTTCTGATAGTGGCAGATTCCACATCCGTGAGACTTTAAGATAATAAGCACAGTGGCTAAATGGGCAGCACAGTGGCTAAATGGTTAGCACTTCCGCCTGCCAGTACTAGGGTCATTGGTTCAAATCCCAACCGTGGCACCACCTGCCTGGAGTTTGCATGTTCTCCCTGTATCTGCGTGGGTTTCCTCCAGGTACTCCGGTTTCCTCCCACACTCCAAAGATATGCTGGTAGGTTAATTGGCTCCTGTCTGAATTGGCCCTAGTATGTGTATGTATGAATGTGAGTTAGGGACCTTAGATTGTACACCCCTTGAGGGTTAGGGACTGATGTGAATGTACAATATATATGTAAAGTGCTGCATAAATTGACGGCGCTATATAAGTACCTGTAATAAATAATAAGAAAGACGTCTAGTCATGCTAGGAAACCTACTCATTAGAACTGTTGATTTTTTTGGACTGTCACAATAATTAGTGAATTGCTAACTCAATGGTGCATTTGAAAGGCTTTCCATTTGAGAGATAGTCAAACTGCTAGTTCCTGGAATTGTTTATCTTTAAAAGGTTATATTTGAAAAGTTAACTAAATCTAACAGCCAGTTTAATATATTTTAAGTATTTTAAGCTGTAATTTTCCAATCTGAATATTACAATAAAATAAAAAATCTGTAAACTGCCTATAGAGTCATTACTGGAAATATCTGGAAATGTTGACTAAAAGAAATGATAACTAAAATTGTAGGGTCCACTAGAAATGTATCCATAAAAAAAAGTTACATGAAAATAATAATAATGAACAGCAAAATGTTCTAGTCACAAATGTCAGTCCAGTGAAATAAGACTGAGGACATTTTTTCGGATGGACGTGACCTAAAGAGATTTGTTGATCTATAGAAAAGGAATTTCACCCTCAAGTGTTATGTTCACTTTGCTGCTGCTCTCTGCAGATCAATAACCCTACGGGATCTACCCCTTTCCAACGTTGCCTTGTCTCACTGATCTTGTATTGTACTGCAATTATTACTATCATTCTGCTCAGACCCTTTGTGATTGTTATTAAATTCTTTTTCATCTCTTAGGTATAATGTGGTAAGTTAATAAATGTTTCAGGCTCTGCAATCTTTCAGTGTTCTCTTTGATACTGATGTTATAACCATTGGGTGAATTAAAACTGAACTTCTGAGAAATAGAAATGACACAGATTAATGCAGCTCTGAAGTGATTAAAGTGGAATTCCAGAATACACCTAATTAGCCTTAAAACTGCCCCCCCCCCCCCCAACACCTATGCTAACTAACCTGTGTAAGAATGATGTATATATATACCTATTTTCAGGCCACTCCACTGTGGTCACCTGACCAGGATCCCCTGTGTAAGCCAGCAAGACTTAAGTGGAGAGGCAGGAGCACTGACAACAGATGGGCCTTTGAAGCCCATAGGTGATTTCACTGCTCCAGGCTTTACTAGCTACTGTCAAAGTTCCCTTTCCTTTCCCCTGCCTCTAGTCCAGGCTGAAAATAGGTAAGTACTATATATATCTAAAGAGAAAAATACATTGCTGTGCTTGTACCCCTAGTCTGTGCTTGAGAGGATGGAAATCAGATGCTTGTGCTCAGACATGGGCTGTTTCATGAAACTGTAGAAAGTGAGAGTCTGGCACCAAGGCATCTTAAGGCAAAATGTTAAACTTTATTGAAGATCCATCCAGTGGTGTATTTAGGTTTTGGGCTGCCCTAGGCAACACAACAAATTGGTTGCCCCACCCACAGAGAGAGCCTGACATTGACCAACAACACCCCTGCCCACCCCCCACCTGAAAGAGCCTTCCACTAACATCCATCCCCCCCCTTGGCGAGAGAGAGAAAGACACTCACCTTCACAGCTCCAGACATCCCTGGGAACAAGAGTCGGGCTCTCCATACACCATCAAGCAGCCCGCAACCTCTCTCGGATCCCACCTGGTCCCCATGCCGCAAGTTTCCCTTCTTCCGTCTCTTCTTCCGTGGAACGGTGCTGCCCCCCTTAAAAATGCAGCCCTAGGCAAAAGCCTTGTTTGTCTTGTGGTAAATACGCCACTGGATCCATCAAGACATAAAAAGAATCAGTTCCTACAGTTAAAATTGATCTTTCGGTTGTATAGGCCCTAGTCATAATCCATAATGACTAAGGCCTATACAGCTGAAACACGTCACAGTTCTCCATGGAGATAACTGTGCTCCAAAACAGTTTGCGCTCACTGCAGCGAACCATATTGGATCACAAGGTAACGTGCCCCTCTTCCAAGTGGTCTCAGGCACAGTTCAATTAACCAGTCCTGAGCATGGTTCAGAGCACTCACACTACATAAACGAATTAGCCCAAGTGAACTAAAGAGATTGACCCATGTAGACAAGACCTCCATGTGTTCCTAGATTGTAAGCTCCGAGGAGCAGAGCCCTCCTATCCCTTTTGTATTGAACTGTATTGTTGCTGTATTGTCTCCCGTTATATTGTAAATCGCTGAGCAAACTGTTGGCGCTATATAAATCCTGTATAATAATAATATAATAATAATAATATGGGCTAACAAGCCAAGTACCATTAAAAAAAAATGGTTTTAAAACCTATGTACAATAAAACCTTAACACTACAAATAATTATCAATATCCACCATTACAATTTCAATGTATTTTGTTCTCCTAAAGGCTTATTTTACTAAAATACTATTCATTAAAGTATTGTGTAAACCTAACCTTCAGCAGCAAAACAAGAACAGTGGGGACTTGACTGGTGTCTGGTGTCTTTATTAATTGCTTGGCCCTAATTATAATCATTATGGAATGAATATGTTCCATTTCTGTTTTTACCTGTAAAACATTATTACTCATTACTTTGTGTTAACATGTAATCACTCCTAACAGGACAAATTTAGGTGTTGCACATATGCGGATGGCCAGGAAATTAAACCTCAAAGCAATTACAGAAGGTAAGTGGAAGGTGAATAGCATTGTGCTCTGGCTGGCTAATTACAAGTGCAGGAATGAGTAATAGTCACCTATAATGTATTCTGCAAGTGTAAACTATTGTCTGCTAATGTACAGAGTAATCATAATTTATACATTCCCAGAAAACAGACATTTATCTTCAGTTGCATTCACAATGGCTACATAATTGTATTGTTATAAAGGTTTTATGAATTCTACGGTGGCCAAACAAAAGCTTATAAAAGCAAGCAATGTAATTCACTTCAGCCCCGCTTAAGATAACTGGACCCTGTAGGAGCTGCATTGTAATGAACTCTAAGCTATGGATATACTGTATGAATGAGGCCATCCTCATAACAGCTCAGTAAATACGCTCAACATCACACTGACCAGTTGCCCATGGCTGAACATTGTTTACAAGCTATGGCTCCAACCTTCTTCTTGGCCTTTTCTATTTCATATTCTTGTCCCTGTGATCCAAATTGTGTAGATATATACTGTGCCTCTATATAGCGATAAGGTCCATACTTGGTGCATGCTTGTAGTTCAGAGTACAGGCACTATTACTTACTACAAAAGCAAATATGGAGTATTCTAAAGAGAAGCTAAACACAGTCCTGGTCTGGGAGAACCTGAGGGATGCACAACATTCATAGATTAAATGATTTTAATTTTAATTAAATTTCAAGCTTATATAGTAAGGGGTTTGCAGGAATTTAAAGGTACTTATAATTGTGCACATTTTCAAAGGGGTTGAAAAATGTCTACAATCCACTGCTGATTCATGTTCATCAACCAAAAAAAAAATGAAAATGAATCACCATGCACTGGGCGAAAAA